CTGAAAAAAAAAAAAACCTAGACATACTGTATGAAACTTACATTGTTGTATGCGAGTAAAACTGTTGCGAGTCAGTTGGCACTCTGCAACTAAGAGTGTTTTACTAAGTATTCTACCCAACGTTACCTGGCACGTCGACAGGAAGAAAATACTGGCCAGCTGAAACCTCATGATGATTGTCTCTACAGGTACTGGGATGTGTTGGGAAAAAGGGGGGGGGGGGGGGTGTGAAGGCAGAGATCGAATACAAATGCTATATAGGAAGTCACATGATTCGACTGATGTCGCACATATTTTGTAGAACCAACTTGTAGGAACTGACACCAAGAGACAATATTTTCACCACTCTGTTGCTATCGGTGACAGTTAAAACAACACGAAAGAGAACAGATCAAAACAACTGATTAGAAATGTCTCTCACCAATCCTAAATGTAACAAGAAGAAACAGGATAAGAAACGGCCATACAAGGTAACAAGTCTGGAAAAAATCTGAACTAAACTATATCAAGGATAACAAACAAAATGGTTCAGACACGGTTGAGGACTACCACAAACTAGTGTACCACAGTGAGCCATCTCAGTTGGACACAGTGGAAACAGAGCTGCATGTCACCCACATGAGCCGAGCAATGGATAGATGGAATATCTGAGGCCACGAATACCACTGCACACATCATACCTGGCGCCTGATGCCTCTTCAAAACCTGTGCCACAAAATAAGGAGAGAACTAGAAGAAAGAAATTTAAAATTATGTCCAGCTCACACAGTTAGAGGCACTCTAACAAACTCACAGTATAGGACAGATGTGAACTCACAAACTGAGTATAGGGATTTAAGTTTCTGTCTGTAATAGGAAAGAGTTGAAAATGTATGCGGTCTTTGCGCAAGAACAGCATGTTAAAAGGGGTCAGACAAGAGCACTATGCAAAAAGCCAAAGAAGAAAAGGAAACCAACACAGGGCTGGTGCTATCAGCCGCTACATGCTGCGGGATTTACTAGGGGTTGGAGAATTTGAGCGCTTATGAACTGAATGGTTTAAATTGCAATGAGGATAATCTGATAATATGTCGTTTAACTAACTATCTAGCTAACTAACCGTCTTTGTGCCAGCGAACTAACGTGGGGCCAGTTGCATAACGCATAGAGATAAAGTAACCATTGGTTTAATATTTACTTAACATTCATATACACACATTTCGCTCTATTTCATACTGGGCTAAACTGTGCTGTGAAATATATTTCCCAACAGTTCTACGTAAAGCCCAATAGTAAAACAAGAAACAGGTTTAGTCTAAATTCATGCAACCAACTTTATTGACATAGATTGAGGAGAATCAATGTAGTTTTTGCATCTTTACATGTACAGACAGCACGTCTTAAGGCGTGCAGTAATTAATTTGTATGGCTGTATTTTTTTTTTCTTAAGATGATATGAACATATTTTTAATTAAATCGTGAATTGCATAAAAATAAGGTAAATAATTTTCTATTTAATTATATTTACTGTCTTAAAAGGTGATCATAATCACGAGCAATACCAATAAACGACTACTGTCACATTTCCCTATCCCACACTATTACCAGAATCCCAGATCAGGTCACAGTTTTTGTCGTACCCAGCTATATGGTCGAGTCATCGATTTTTTGTTATCTCTTTGCCTTCTTTGTGTTCTATTCCCACCAACTGTGTCAGTCGTTACCAAATTCTGGAGTCCATTTCTACTCACAATGTCCATACACAAAAATACTGACTCTTTACGTCCAATTTCTTCAATCAGTTAGTGGTTTTCATCTGTCTCGAGAACGGCTCTTTCGTTTCGGTCATTCTAGCAACAGGCATCCAGCCAGGAGAAGTGGCAAACGTTGAAAGAATCAACACTTTGTTTAAAGTCGTAGTACATGTCCTTGAGAGGCAAGAAACCAAAAGTCTGCACAGAAAAAAAGCCAGATTTTTAAAACAGATGTGCACGCCAAACTCAAGTCCTGGAATAAGGCAAGGCGAAAGTCCAGAAGTGGACGAATAACCAGACAATAATGCCAGAGTTTACAGCCGGTCAAGAAACAGAAGACAAGCCCTCAGCTCCCAGGTCGACCCGGTTTAAAATGAGGCATCATGACATGTTCTATGAAGTAAATGCAACCGAGATATGGATGAGCACATCTCTCATCGAGTGTCGACTGGTCTATAAAATATAAGTCTAGCTTTATATGCCTTGTAAGCCACAGTGGTGTAGCGGCTAGGCGCTCGCCTGCGGATAATGACGAGGCCGTCAATAATGACCTTGGCTCCCGGGTCGACCTAGCCTTAAAGGGGTACCCAAAAAAGTCATAGGAAATAAAGGCAGACGACGCGATGGTGACCACATCACCCACCGAGTGCTGATTGGACTATAAAATATAGGTCTAGCTCAGTGGTCGGCAAACTCACTAGTCAAAAGAGCCAAAAATCAGGTGTTTGAGAGATCCCTAGCGCTGGAATTACAAAGCTCGTGCATTTAGACACGTATATTTACACACATATATAGCCACACACATGCTATATATGTGTTAATGTGTGCACCCACGCCATGCTGTTGTAAAAATACTTAACACACCTAGTATGCAAAGTTGTCTTTAACGTTCATTAACCACTTTTGCGATAGTCGATCGCTGCCCCTGTTTCCAGGGTGCATGCTTTGCATTGTCTGCTTTCCACATTTCCATGACATTCAATATAAAAGTACATATACATCTTAATTTAAAAACTGATGGTGCATTTTACAAATAGTGTTAACCTAAATACGTGATTCACCAATAGGCACTCAAAAGGTAATGCTGTCATCATAACGCCAGACACCATTTTTTAGAGATCATTTGCCGGTAGTCAATTTATAATTCTGTATCGGGGAGGCCGGGAGTCACCGTGGTGTAGCGGCTAGACGCTCGTGTGGGGATCGAAAGATCGTGGGCTTGCTCTCTGGTGGAGCCGGAATTTATTTTTCAAAAATGACCTTGACTCCCAGATCGACCCAGCCTTGAATGTGTACCGGGTGCAGATCCGGCAAGTAAAGACAGTTGGCGTTATGGTGACCACATCACCCATCTTGTACCGATTGGTCTATAAAATATAGGCCTAGCCCTATATGCCATAAAGTCGGGGAAAAGGGACCTTTTCTTTACTTACCTGGGAGACCCAGTCAGATGTATGACTTAGCCTGGGTGGATATTGGAATTTGTGACCCCTGCTCCGACAGGCATTGGTGGTATCTGCTGAACTTTGCCCGGCTCTCTAGCGTAGTTGGTTAAACCTGACTTCGCGATGACCGGCTGACAAACTCCTTGTGGTCCGGGTTCACGCCCGGGGGTAGGCAGAAAAGTCACATTTCTCAAAGATTTACGGTACCTATCATGGCCGAAGGGTCACAATATCCATAGTACTGAGCCAAAGGATTAACAACTCATGGTTTCTGGATACTTGGAAAAAAAAAGCATAGCTGAAGTACCACGGCTTCCTGACATTTAATCTGGCCAATATTCTCCAGATTCTGAGCAATTATGCTGTCTATAAACACATTTGTATACATAAGTAAGATCTTGCAGAATTCAAGTATTTTTTTTCGTCTGTATTCATGGTAACAATGACTTAAAATTCAGCAAAGTTGTGTTTCAAAAGTAGTTTAAATTAATACAATTTGACGATTTCAACTAAGTATTATATTCTCGTAGGACGTCAAAAAGGATTAGAAACAAGATATGGTAAGATATGTCTCTCTATTCTTTGTTTTACAAATGATTATGAAATTTTTTTTTTAAACCTATAGAAATCGTTACATAAACAAAATAAAACGCAAAGAGGTAAAGAATTTCTATCCCTTTTCTGGACTCGCTTACGGCAAAACATAAATAAACAAACAAACAAGGCGGCATCAGATAAAGCTAGTGCCAAACTCAAGCAGAGCTTAAGTCGTATCACTGCCAGGGATCTCAGTATGGAAACCTGTGAAGTACTTTCATGGGGAAATAAACCCGTAGCGTTTCGAGAATGTCATGCTGAGTAAGTCTCTAATGTAAACAAAGCAGAATAGACAAGACCGTTAGTGTCCATAATATGTCTCAACAATGTGAAATGCGATACACCTAATTTACTAACTTTGAAACTATTTTTGAAGCAATGAAAAAAATGTGTGAACACTAGAGTCAGAAACTTAACTTTGGGATCAACACTAACAAACAAAAAAAAATCATTGATAATTATAACACAAATTATCGTTCAAATATCGCATTAGTGGAAATGCTACTGACCACAAATCACGTCTCAGAGATGGAGAAAGAACAAAGGACTACAAAATATACTGTAGACAAGAGATATACAAATAAATTGAAAAAAAAAAAAACTAAAAAAAAAAAAGTTAAAGAACAATATTAAAAAAAAAAAAAAAGTATCAAACTTGAATTTAAAGCGGTTGAGATTTCATCAGTTTTGAAACAAAGATTAGTCACAAAACGCATAGTAAAGATTTGCACACATTGATCAAAGCAGGGGATTAAATCTAGAATATAGAGATTTAACCAAGTGTGTTTGGAACCAAAAGCCATTGTAATTTTTGCTTATCACGTCAGTTTTTTTAACTCAGTTTTAGGGAGAGTGCCATGTAAAACAACCAACAGTTTATTTGATCATACTGATTACAGCTGCAACGGTCTCACACACACACACACACACACACACACACACACACACACACACACACACAAGATATTGAAATACACAATAGGCCATAAAAAACATTTCAGAGAAAATATAATGTGTTCCCCACACAAGCTAGAAACCATACAAGGACAACCCAGGAACTTTAAAGTGCTCGAGCATTGGGATACCGAAATGTGCCAAAGTCCTAAATATCCAATTTCAAATACTCAGCAGCATCAGTAGATTTTGTGTGTTCAAAGTTCTAATTAAAATCAACATCTTTAGAAGCATATATTAACACGAAAGAAGACCAATAAAGATGCAACAATTAACCAAAAAATGGGATGACATTGTTAATGTTGCGAAACCTTCTTAGCCTATGTACCGTTTCCAAGGGCGGACAAACTCTATGTTGAACGCCAATTTCACCAATTTCGGAGCAAATGTCGTACAGTTTCGCCCATGTCAGGGCAGTGATGATGCTGACTTGAGTATAATATGGCATACGTCCTACCGGCATAGTGCTAGACAAGATTCCGATAATCTTTTTCCCTTCCCGAGAATCATCTGAAAGAACTGCAGCTCCAGAGTTGCCAACTGCCGAGTCGCATCTGGTAATTATCAGATTTCCATCAACCATCGCCTTATTGGACTTGGCAGGGCAGATAGACAGCCACAGATCATCTTTATTGTTAGGAAAGCCTAGGAATTGCAGGTTTTCGTTTAGCACACCCGCAGTTGGTACTGCCAGAGGGAAAAACTGCGATCGACCATGGATTCCGAAGCTGAGTTTAACAACTGCATAGTCCCAGGACGCCTGATGTTCTTGATTGTTTCTTGAGTGCAGCCATCTGCCCGGAATTCCAATCTTCTCTATGTAGTATGCGCGTACGCCCATACTGTCTGGTACCTCCACCTTCAGCATTTCCAGATTGTTTCGGAAACGGAAGCCCGTGTGTAGACAATGAGCAGCAGTCAAAACATGCTGCGGTGTAACCAGAGTCCCCGTGCACCCAGTTGAAAGTCTGACGATATTGGAATATGGAAATTTCCGTAACAAAGATGGGTATATCCGGAGCCTGTCATCCTTGCCGTATACAAACACTTTTTTATCATAAGGTCTCACTATTCGTTTCTGGTATGTTTCTCTTGTTACTGAAGTTTCATTCCTTTTAGAAAAATGACCCGATGAGCCCAGTATGGTGCTAATGTTTTTATGCTTTTTGCAGTCATCGTGTCTAAATCTTATGTTTCTTTTTGCCCAGTTGGCTATTAATAATAATGTTGTCAGTTGTGTGTTTTGGTTGCTGAAAGCAGGTGCATATTTGCTTCGTAAAGCATTTGGCCCCAATGCATAACTGTTTTGAGAACGATTGAGTTTGGCAGTTGTCTCTAAGTTAAGTACACCTGAAATATGTTGGAAAGACATTTGTGTTGGAGTCCCTGATAACCAGAGATGTCTTGTGTTTATTGAATTCCCCAAAGCCACGGTCGGTAAGGCATATGTACAATACAGCAGAGTGATTATCCATGTTTCCCGTTCATTGAGGTTAGAAATAAAGGCGGGCGAACAGGTAGTTTGTTCAGAAGGCGCCATTCTATCTAGTCAGACTGTAGCCAAAGGTGTCAGCCTGGAAAATAAAGCAAATGTAATTTATTATGATATGTCTTATTTCACGCATGGAAATCAGAAAAAGAAAAAAAAAAAACAGTTTGATGGTTGCGGTATCTGTTTCAACCCCCCCCCCCCTCCCCTTTCCGATCCTCCTCCGTTTTGAATCCATGCATTCATGGATTAGTGTTAAATTTTGCACTGAATGTTGTAATTGTCAGTACTGAAGCAGTTGGTGACGGAGTCTGTGTATCACTGACAGAAGGATTCTAAGTGAGTTTTAAATCGACAACATTAGTCTGTACTATGTTAGGCTGGCATCATATGACCGGTGCAACAAATGAGAAAACATACAAGTGTTTTGTTTTTGTTTATAAATTTCTTTACTGATTTCTGGACTTTGCTAACTCTAAACCCATTCGTCTGGCATCTGGATACGAACCTTTGAAAATGAGATAAATAAAGACGCGGAATAAACATTATTAAATTATCCCTATTTCCAGCCTATCATCGTGTGCTATGCCGAATCGTGAGCTAGATACTTCATATCTTAACACGACTCTGCAGATTCTAAGTTTAAAAAAAAAGGTAAAGATCAATTTTCTCGCCTTTAGGCGTATTGGGCATAAGGGAAGAGCGTGCATATTTTTACAGACCATCGGCACTAGGTGAGTAATGTGATCAGCATTACGCCGGCCGTCTTAACTTCCCCAGGACAGCCTATCCTGGTAGTCATTTTAGGCTGGGTCGACCTGCGATGTCCCATACCACGATAAAAATCCAGCAGTGGGTTTCGATCGCGGTACGTTAGAGTTACCAATCGGACTCGCAACTGTGCAGTTTATGCGTGTGAAATAAAATATATTCGATCAGGCAGAAAACTATCAGAGCTATCAATGTCTAAAGTCGAGTTCCTCGATACACCGGACGTTGATCCGCATGACTACGTCTCTCTCCACAAGTCGACTAGCTGCCAGTCAAGAGCGTCACACAAAGCAAAAACTCCGTAATTCGTGAACAGATGTTCCATGGATCTCAGCAACCGAATGACGCAGTTCGTGAATCGAATCTGTGACTTTAAGAATGCGAGGCAAATGGCTTGACCAGTTTGCCACGGAGACTCTATAACCGATGAGACGAATTTGGGGAATACGTCCTGGCTCGAAAAGTAGACATCCAACTGGGTTAAATGGTCTCAAGTAATTTTTTGTCAAAAGTGTTGATGGACTACACACACACACACACACACACACACACACACACACACACACACACACACATCTACTGTAAAAAAATCTAGTGGGGGATGGTTATATCAATGCAAAGGTTAAACAACACTAAACGTCTGTGGGCGAGCGTCACTAATGAATTCAAAGTCAAAATGTTGTAAGCATGCATTATCAATGTTTTCAACATGCGTATGTGAACAGTAGACTATTTCGCAGTCATTAAAGAACAAAGTAGGAGTCTTTGAGCTGAAATACTATACAAATATTCTTAGAATAACATCGACCAAGAAGAAAAGAAAAAATGACACACATAAATATCTGTACTTCAAGCAAGACTGGCTGGTCCCGGAAATTGAACCTGATCTGACAACAAAGAATAAAATACGACGTGTTGCTGGTCGCTTACTATGGGTGACACCCTATAAGATAAGACAGGCACTGCGACACGACATGAATGGAAAGAGAAGTCACTCTCTTTCTGGGTCGAAAAAGGTAACAAGTGCCAGCATAAAATATTTAAAAAAAAGGGGGAACTCATATTCAAAGAGGTGACACGATATTAAAAGAATGAATTAAATATTTAAGAAGGGAAAATATAGTGAAGCATATTCAGTGGCTTGACTGTGGGCCTAAAAGTCTGAAATAACAATCTACACCGGTGTCAGTCTTTACAATAGGTCTATGACTCGTCTCAGAACCTGCTTAAAATGGATATCAGGAATTCGACTGGAAAGTAAAAGCCGCCAGCAAAGTGTTTTAGTACATCAACCATCAAGTGCGTATCGGTTTATTTAAAATAGGTCTGTAATAAAATGGCGTTTTGTTGGCTACATAATCTATCGTGTGCCAATGTATTTACCAATGGATTGATACAAAGAGGATTAAACAATCAAAAGACAGTTGCGTCACAGGCAGAGAATGGGTCCTCATATCGCTTACTATAACCATACACCCTCGAAGAGCGATACAGGCATGGAAAATGCCCTTTGCTGTTTATTTATGCATTGCAACCTGTCTATGGCTGTGCATTGCACTATAAAGCTGTGATGATACATGTATCGATAAAGAGCTATGAACCTTAAAGATAATACAACCCGAATAAATGTTTTCCAAAGTCTCTAACAAAATCAATATGTAATGGCAAAGATCTGAAAGGATTTCCATATGAATAATACAACAGAAACGAATGTGCACGCGCACACACACAAAAACATACACACACTTACACCAACACACACACACAAACACACACACACAGACGCATTCTTTTTCAGCATGCCGAGCCCTTGAGGTACATTGCCAGAGATAAATCTGGACTCCATTCATCTATGTTCTACTTCTCTTCCTCTTTCCGTTCTCCCTGTCAGTGGTTTTCATATGAGGAGGCCATATGCTTGTATGAAGGCTATGGTGTCACGAATGTCTTAAACGGATCCATACAGCATAGCGTCAATCGGAATACCAACTGGCCCTAACTGGGATCACCTGAGAGCATGCCTGCATGAAATGTTTAGTTAGCGGCGGTGCCTATACTACACATGGGAAAACCCCTCGGAGTCTGCTTCGTGCTACCCGCAGTCCACAAACCAATGGTCGGTGCTTTTCTTTTAGCCGACCACAAATGACGTCACGGGACAGTCTAATATTTTAGAGGGTGTTAGGAGCGAGTTTTCCATGTTTTCTGTGCTTTAGCGCGTTTTTCCAAGGCCTAACCCTAGCCCTAACCCTAACCAAACCTATACGCTCAATTTACCACCCTCAGACATATTTGACTGTTCCGTGACCTTTGGATTTCCCCGTTAGTGGTGGGCTAATTAAAAAAAAAAAAACAATGTTCTGCCGTTTTTGTTTCTAGGTAAATGATCGCGTCTTCATGATTATGTTCCGTATGAAAAGTGTAACTATGAGTTTCATGTGTGACGAGCTGGTCTGGACAGCTGTTTCTTCCCTTTTAAGTATTACTTTGTATTAGCAATATTATTAAATTGTCTTACTTTTTTTCGTATTGCTCCATTATAGCAATATTATAATCAGAAAGTTTAAAGACGAATGGATAGTTCAAGGAGTACCTCAAGAGTGACTTCCTCCTTTTTTAAGGACTCCTATTTCCTTTTCAAAACAGAAATTGACCAGTTCAGACTAAAGTTGGTAGTCAGTCTGTAGTCTAATTTTCTGTTTAAGTTCCCTACCAGGGTGAGTGAATAGTATTATTTTTATTTGATATATTGCTGCTAATTTCTCTGAATAAATTTCACAGGTTAAACTCTATGAAATTTGATGCCCACATTGTGGTAGAAATCCTTGTGAATTTCCTTATCCTAACTAACCACGTTTATGATCTAGCATGCACATGTATGCAAACATATGATCTATTTGATGACTGAATTAATGTTTTTTTTAATACTAAAATCGTGCATTAGTATTTTTAATTATTATAATTATATTAATTAAGTAGGAATTTATGTCCTCATGTGAAATCCCGGCCAGTTCCGATGTTCAGCATGGTGAGACAATTAATAAAGGAATGAAGTGCATATTCATTATACCTCATCCTTAATAAGTTGATTTAACCTCATGGTGATATAAGCTTGATAAATCACTGTCTTGCTTTAATTTAGATTTAGCCCAGATAATTCTGAGACTGGTTTAAGAGCTTGAATAAACGTGAATAACACATAGTGGCTGAATTTAATATTCACACTGTCGGAGAAAAAGAAGAGAGATGTATGGCCCATGATTGTAATTATTATTGTTTTATATATGTATATATATATATATATATATATATATATATATATATATATATATATATATATATATATATATATATTTCCCTATTACTAGGATTTTATTTCAGTACCACAGCAGGTGGCCTTACAATTGTAATACTTATATTTTACCCTTTCCAACTTCTAAACTCGACTTAATAAGGTTTATCACACGTGTGGATTTAGATTTAAAGTGGAGTGAGTGTTGTATATTTTATGTTAATACTGTGACAGATGGAAAGCCTATTGTCACCTATGATTGTATTTTGACATTTATCCCAGCACCCAGTTATACTGATGGAGATGTGTCAATCCAATTTATTTTCAAACCGTGCAAAGCACCTGTTATGAGTTTCCTGCCCATGTAAACCCATTCCCTGATTCTCATTCTTTGAGATGTGAACCCATGTGGTTGAAATGAGAGCCTATTGTGAAATGTTACTGTGTATGTAAGCATGTTAACCCATCAAAGGAGTACTAATGTAACGACATTAGAACAATTTACACTGATGAATGTTCTTTCTTTTTTGTGGGATGTAAACTCTTGTGCTTGAGATTATTCATGAAACTGATGTTTCCTAAATATTTCCCCATCAGGATTATGAACCCTGTTCTGGAAACATTCCCATTATGTGCCAGTGAAGAATGTGAACAATTGTGATTACCCTACTCTATATGTGTGTGTAGTGTAACATTATATGAGAATTGGGGGTACTGTTGTCTCTAGTGAGAACTTTCCAAACTGTTTGTATAGGGACTGTTCTATTGTTCTAGTTCCAGGTGGTAGTTCCAGGTGGGAGCTCCATAAGTAAATCCCAGCGCAGCTGCAGATGCCCGATTGTCTGGACTGGACTGGAAGATTCGGCCTGCCTGATGTGTCTCTGAGGCTTACCTAGAAGCTCACCAAAGAAACCTGAGCTACAGCTAAGTGGACAGATTTGTCTATCCCTATCCAACAGGGACCAATTTTATCTCCACAGACAGTCTG